CATGCACATCACATGCACACTGCGTGTTATTGCATCATTCTATACATTTCTACTTCATAAAAAATAAAATGGCACGCGCGCACAGCGCGCGTGCCACATAATTTCTTTTTATTGTTATTATTTTTAATTTTCTTTTTGTCGCATTTGGCGTTCCATATGCCACAGCATCAGACTAAGATAATCTTCATGAACTGTTTTGTGCATGATGGTGCACCATCTCTGCTGAAAATAATATTGTGTGCTACATATATATCCATATTATAATTATAAAACCTTTTAAATACAACTCAATTTTGTAGTAGTATGGCTGACTTCTTTGACCTTTGCTAGAGCACATACAAGCACAGACACAATTGATATTTTGATAAATAAAATCACCAATAATAGTAGGTGAGGCCCAGCTGTCTACTATTTCCATACATTTGCAAAAACGAAAATGGCCCAGTACATTCCATTGCCTAATTAAAAGTTTTCTTTAAAATTTTTCTAGTTAGACTGGCTTTATACCAAGTTTCTTTTGACACTTTATTAATAAACTTTTTCCAAATATTGATAAACAGCACTTCCTTGTACTAACCAAATTTTATAGCAAAATAACATTGTACATAGAAGTTTAAAAAAGTAAGCAAGTTACAACTCTACACGCGAATTACTGTATAGCGGGATTTTTTGAGAATAATAAATTTCGTGAATGACCCGTATCCGGAAGTTTGCAGAAATAATCTTTGCGAATTTCCACTAATCTGCCATCTTGTACCATATTAAATTGATTTTCAAGGAATTTAATTTCGTGAATCATGAAAAATCCGTGAAATTCGCGAAATTTGTTATCCTCAAAAATTTCCCGCTATACGGTTTCATGAGGCAAGGTGTGCGTTAATTGGAGTGCAAATAAAACATCAAAGATAGTGACAGTTGCCGGCGATCCGCCTGTACCAGGGGTAACTACCGGTATGCATTTTTGCATTTGCCAAGTATTCTTTTTATTTTACCAATTGTTCTTTTCCCTGATCTCAATTATCAAAGTTAAAACATTGTGTATGCATAGTTTAAAATGTCATCATTCTGTCTAGTGTTATATACATGCACCAATACCACATATGATGCAATAAAGTCTGAGACTTGAATGAATGACTAGGGTATAAAAAAAGCCCGACTCCAATAGATGTTTAAACCAACACATTCCCATCTTCTGCATCTATTTTTGTTAACAATGTAACCAGTCCCTACTCCCTCCCAGGCTATTCTTAAATACATCCCATTATTCTCAAATTATTTTTCACTATGATTGGTTTTGCACCCAAGTTATTCTAGAATATTTGGCCCAAGCCTATTGGCAGCTAACTATGTATCATTTTGTGTTCTTGTCACCATTGGTTTAAGCCTCGCTTCCCTACAGTTGCGGCTGTTGTATGTAAACTGTGGTTAGCATATACATCTGTTGTAGAGATAGACCTGATTTCTTGCAACAGTGCTGTTGCAAATATCATGGAGATAGAAAGCCGTGGTCTAACCACAGAATCGATACATGGAAACTAGGCTTTAGGCTGTTGTATAGGCTACATGGAAAAAACGAGGCTTTACATTGAACACACTACATCACACACCAATCCACTCTGGAGGTGGAGAGAGAGTGATGTGCATTAATTAAAACCATACTCTAGTGTGAACATGATTAATGTGCATCAATGCACATTACTTGTCCCAGTGTGAACAGGCCAGGCATACTAAGGTTGATACTGGCAGGCCAGCTGTTCAGTAAAACCATAAACTAGTTCAGTTTGCAAAAAATTATAAATAGATCTAACATTCATTCAGTCATCTCTTAATTTGATACATAGCTTCCAGTGAACTGATTGACACTGTAATGTATTAATCATTGATCATGTGTAATTACTATTATTGTTATTATTATTATTGTTATTATCATTGTAGTTATTGTTAATGTATTGTATTATGATTTGTGTAGTTATTATTAAGTGTATAGTTATTATTAAGTGTTAAGTTATTAGTAGTTATTGTTATCACTATTATATATACAACGCATTGTCGACTTTTTATTCATGCAATTGTAAATATAACAACTCTTCAACTGCCAAAGAACCCTGCCGTATAGCTGCCTCAAATACTCCCAGTCCTAGAGATAACAGATATAACAGACACAAATCACACAACCTGTTTTCTCATAAGATCTTACAATATAATAACGTATTTTGCAAACTAAGTGGATGTACATCATTTTAAAAAACTAACTGTATTGTGAATTAGGAGTGCCGGGACTGCAGTATAAGAAGCTAATAAAAAGAAGAGGTACATTACATATAGCCAGTACAATAGGGAACTAAGAAAATTGATTTAACCAAATTTTCATAATAGTTAAATGAGTATACTATTCATTTGACTTGTCAGTATAGTAATTATTATACTTGAAGAGTGCAGAATTAACCTTTAATTAGGTGGATGGTCCTCTTCTCTCCCAGGTTTTGATCATTTTCTTTTAAATCATTGCATAACAACTTATATCTATCTTCCTATAAATATACATCATAAGACTCAATTAATGAAATGGGCCTGGCATTGGTTAAAAATAACAATGCAGCCAACAGCACTTGCCAAAAGGTTACTTTTGCTAATAAACTAAATTGTATGGTTGGCTACATGTACATTACACATTTTAAAGAACAAAAATACAATAATGTATAAAGACAAAATAACAATGGACACACTATAGCTAAAGACTCAATGCAATGTCTAGAATTCTAAATAGTGTACAACATAACAAAGGAGCATTGCTTGTTGGCCTCACCAAGCTTTGCGTAGGTGAGGAGTAGTACTACTGTTGTCTGTTTGTCAGTCACTCATTAATTGCTATATAATTTTACCAGTACTCACTATATTGAGAAGTCAGGTAATTCAATTTGTGATTCACTCTCAAATTGCTCCCTTTTCTGTGATTGTGTACCAACATCAAAATACAATGTCCCACCAATACGTACCTCTAACTGCATGGTTTGACAAGTTTTAAATTATTATTATGACAATTAATCAGTGATGTTAACATACAGTACTGGTTTATCCAGTGAGTGGTATATTGATGGACAGCCCATGAAACCAGCCACTGATTGTTTGACAAGTCTTTGAGGCTGTCAGCACTTCAGATACCTAATACATGTGAGTGAGAGAATCTGAATGGTCAATTGCATAATGAACTATCTTACTTGATGGAAAAAGCTAGCTAGGCTGGAGTGACTTCAAAAAATACAAAAGAGTTCCAAAAAGGAACAATAGAATGGACTAACTGATTAGGCTGACAAAACTCTACCTACTGAAATAATAATTACTACTAGGCGAATGTAAAACATTAAGGGGCGAGCAAAACGATTAAAATTTTGATTAGTGGTATACAATGTCTATATAGACAATGATGTAGTGGCTATTAAGGCCACGTTTACACAGCAATGAAACCGATGCAATCCCTATAGTTTTGTGCCTGTTTTATGCTTCTGTTTACACAGAAACGAATGAAAGCATGACAGAATCTTGATAGAACTCTATGGAAACGAAAACGGTGTTCAAAGTGGATACTTTTAAAATGATGCATTTTGCGTTGCTGTGTAAACATAGCCTAAATGTTGAATGTTGATGTCAATACACTACTTGAATGCAGAATTTGCATGGAAGGAATTTCATAGCTTAATTGTCAGTTCTAGCTTTATGAATTAAGAATCTTTGCAGTTATAATTATAGATCTAGCATGGAAGATACTTGGTCTCAGAACATAGGCGGCTGCAGGGTCGGGCATAGTCGGGCAATGCCCGACCAAAAATTTTGACCAGAAATAAGAATTTAATTAATGACATCATTTTAGTCGTGAAAAATTACCATGGCTAGCAAGAGACAGTCTTTTCTGCTTTCCTTTGTCAACAAGCCTTCCAGGAGGACCAGGACTAGCACTTTACAGGTTGAATAGAGCTTTACAGATAAGATAGGGTGCCTTCTAGGCATATTTTTATGGTATATCATAATGTATGCGTGTGTTGAGTATACGCCCAAAATACGCGAGGAAAAGTGGGCATGGCCAAAATCGCAGCATGCTTCGCGCGCCATTTTTCTTGCCCGACTGCCCTACAAATCCTGCCGCCGCCTATGTCTCAGAAGCTAGAAGGAGACTCCATTTGTTGTCTTTGGGCACGACAAGACCTATCTCTAGCATTTCTATTGGACCTCCCTGCTCTTTTCTCTTCCTCAGCCTCGCTCCTTCTTCTCTCCTAATCACACTCTTTACGAAGAAGTCGACAGGCTTCATGAGCATCTTCTTGTGAATTACTCATGTCTTAAGCTTCAGCTTCTCTTTTTTCTTGAATACTCTTGAATTCCTCTCTTCCAGTGAATAAGTTGCTTTACTCATACTCGTTGTCTTTGCATGTGGTACCGTAATTATCAAAATTATCATTTTTAAATGTGTGATTATTATTTTTATAAACGTATAAATAGGGGTGACATGCGTGTACAAACAGACAGACATGCTCGATTCAATTATGTGGGCTTGCTTTTGCTCGCCCCAATAAATGTACAAATTCATATCATATGGTGTCTTAATTTGGCAAATTTTCCAGAAAAATCAACTTTGAAGCCTCTAATTTTATAACTTTTAAGCATGCATATTATCAGTTCATATATATGGCAATTTTAATTACAAATTGCCAATCAACAAAACAAAACTCAACAACATTTAAGTGCTATACAGTAATTGTTACCTCCATCTTTCCTCTACCATGAAGGATCTACAAGATACAATACTTCTACCCTCCAGCTCATCATCATGACACAATAATATACCTACAAAGAGAGAGATCACTCTACATCAAGTGAGGGTATACATATCAGTCATGTGATTTGTATAATCGTATTTAGCACAAGTTGCATCCACAGTTTTATACCAGTTAGCTCTCATAGCCATGGCAATAAATCCCTAATAATTAAAATAGAAGAAAACACATACCATATAGCTCGTAATTTTGGAGAACATTGATATCCATTCATCAAAATAAAACCCATTATTTTCATGCTCAATGGCCAAAAATTAAAACCCACCAATCACAAAAAATTAGCAATTACCTTAAAGCCACTATTATTTGCGAGTACAATTTTTGTGGGTGGCTTTAAAATAGCAAAAACTAGTACTTGCATTTATTAATAATTTAGGTTTATTGATAGTTATTAATTAGCAAGGAACAAAATCGCGAAAATTAGCACACTCTAAATCAATACTATTATTAAATCGCAAATATTTTTCTACTTAAAAATAAGTGGCTTTAAGGTAGCCTAATTTTTCCACTTCCAAATTACCAGCCATACAGTATGTTCATATGTATAAAATTACAATAAAGATTTGGTTCTTACCAAAATTGTTTTATTTAGCATTTTTAAGAATAGAACAACAAAATAATTCAACAACAACAGCAACAACAATAAAAATAAAAATAACAATAAGGACAATAATAATAATAATTACTTCTTTGAATAGAGGTTGTTGTTCTTGTCAAATAAATTTAATCTCATCAGTGAAGACTTAAGATCCGATACACAGCCCCTCCCACTTCCTGTCTCCATGCCCTCACTAATGAAATCCTTAAGAATCCAACATGTGAAATGGATCAAAAAGGGCAAACTCTAAAAACATGCAAATTTTATCTTTACCTGATTGAAAAGGCTAAAAAATAATTATCATTAATTAAAGTTAGTTAGTTAAACTAATTATTAATTAAATAATCTAGTCCCCGCCCACCCACGTGCTAACCTCCAAGCGTTTTTCACACTCGGTTTTTCGTGTCTTTAA